AAAATATGGCAAGAAATTAAGCCAATCAAAAGTCTGGAAAAAGTTTTTCTTTTTCTTTTTTTTTTTTTAAGATTTTGTTTGTTCGAGAGACACACAGAGGGAGAGTGAGAGGGAAAAGGAGACCGCCCGCTGAGCAGGGAGCCCAACGTGAGGCTTCATCCCAGGACCTTGAAATCATGACCTGAGCGGAAGGAGATGCTTAACCAAATGAGCCATCCAGATACCCCTGGAAAAAAGTTATTCAACATTTCTCAAGAATGGATTTGCTTGAGAATACCAAATAAAAGTGTTTCATTAAAATAAAAAATTGGGGGCGCCTGGGTGGCTCAGTGGGTTAAAGCCTCTGCCTTCAGCTCAGGTCATGATCTCAGGGTCCTGGGATCGAGTCCAGCATCGGGCTCTCTGCTCAGTGGGGAGCCTGCTTCCCCCACCTCTCTCTGCCTGCCTCTCTGCCTACTTGTGATTTCTGTCAAATAAATAAATTCTTTAAAAAAAAGAAAATAATAAATAAAATTAAAAATTGAATAGATCAAGATTTTTGTACTAAGATAAAAACAAAGTCCATGAGAAAAAAGTACAAACTAGAGCTATTTTAAAACTGGTGATACTGGTGGTTATATTTTTATAACAGATATGTCTATTTTAGGGGGACTAATTATCAACTGAATTCATCATAAAAGTCATATTGGGTCACTACAGTCTTGTTCATACATATAATCACAAATTTTTTCTTTTCTTTTTTTTATTTGACAGAGATCACAAGTAGGCAGAGAGGCAAATGGGGAGGGGAGGGAAGCAGGCTCCCCACCAAGCAGAAAGCCCGATGCAGAGCTCGATCCCAGGACCCCGGGATCGTGACCTGAGCCAAAGGTAGAGGCTTTAACCCACTGAGCCACCCAGGTGCCCCTACAATCACTATTTAAAGCAAATATTTTATTTCACACCTCCTTACACAGAAGCATAACTAAAATGCTTAAATAATATAATAACAACAACAAGCATAACTAAAATGCTTAAATAAAATAACATAGAGTGCTGTAAGACATTTTGGAACCACTAAGATACTTTACTGGATTTAATCAGTTTCAGTAACTTATACAAGAATAAATGGATATGCACAGTGTATTAGAAGACATAAAATCAGATTCATAACAGAACATAAATTGTATTACAAGTTAACAAAAGCAAAAATATAAATAAGAATTCAAATCTTTTCAGTAATGAAAACAATTTTTCTACATGACTTTTAATGAGGAATTCATTTTATTTATTTTTATTTTTTATTTTTTAAAGATTTTTATTTATTTATGACAGAGAGAGAGAGAGATCACAAGTAGTCAGAGAGCGAGGAGAAGCAGGCTCCCCACTGAGCAGAGAGCCTGACGCTGGACTCGATCCCAGGACCCTGAGATCATGACCTGAGCCGAAGGAAGAGGCTTAATCCACTGAGCCACCCAGGTGCCCCAAGAAATTCATTTTAATTAGAAATGACTGAATGCAAAACATTGAATAGACTGTAGAGATAGTTTAATATAGTGTACTGAGAGTTGCTATGATCTGTTTTTAATGATCTTCCCCTGTAATCAAAGGGGATCTGGAAACATGCTCTATTAGAAAGAAAAACCTAGGGACGCCTGGGTGGCTCAGTTGGTTAAGCAGCTGCCTTCGGCTCAGGTCATGATCCCAGCATCTTGGGATCAAGTCCCACATCGGGCTCCTTGCTTGGCGGGGAGCCTGCTTCTCCCTCTGCCTCTGCCTGCCATTCTGTCTGCCTGTGCTCATTCTCTCTCCCTCTCTCTCTCTGACAAATAAATAAAATCTTTAAAAAAAAAAAAAAAAAAAGGAAAGAAAAACCTAGAACGTGAACAGCTCTTTTCAGTAAAGCAACAAATAAATGCCAGAGTTTCACACAGAAAAACTGTTTAAAATCAAGAATACTAAATATTGTATTTAAATAATCTTTTTAAAAATTAGTAGCCTTTCTGGATACTCATATACCATTTATTGCTCTAGGCCTGAATTAATATGAGAAAACTACTAGGTTTCAACGAACAAGGGTTCTATGCCAGGGATATGGTGATCATTATCATAATGGGATACTTTTTCCAATCCTTACATCCACTGCAGTACCTATCAATGTAGGACAATGACTCCATTTTGAATAAATTAAGTCAGTGGCCTCAACCAGGCAAGCTGATTAGAAATATGGGTTTCACATAAGGACCACTGTTTTACATGCCTGGCATCCAGAATCCACCTTCTAGAAGACTCTAATTTTCCAGGGAAAACTGTCCAAGCGTGAGAATATACTTTGTTTCTGGTAATTCGATTAACAACTGAACGATTCAAAGATAAGCAAGATCCAGCCAAGCCAAGCCAAACAGACAGCATTGAGATTGGCAAAAAACATGCTTTCCTTTGGGGCTGCTGAGCTGGTTGAATGTAAACATGGAGAGCATTAGCCTGAGAATGAATTTTGTTTTAAACATTTATTTATTTATTTAGAGAGTGCACACATGCAAACAGGAGGAGGGGCAGAGGGAGAGAGAAATGGAAAAAATCCCAAGCAGATCCCCCACAGAGCGCAGAGCCCAACTCAAGAGTGGCTTTATCTCATGACCACGAGAGCATGACCTGAACTGAAATCCAGTCGGATGCCCAACAGATTGAGCCACACAGGTGTGCTTTGGCTTTTTATCATTTCCAATTAAAAGTTATGTCTACCAAAATTTACTTAACAATGTCCAAATTATTTTAAACTCTAAAATTCCATGAGTCTAAGTTTAAAAAAAGATGTTGGAAGTAAAAGAATCTATTATTGGCTGAAATATCTACGCTAACAATGTTTACAAAATTAATCTGTGTGTTTAAGTAAAAGAAAAATGGACCATGGAGTTGAATGACTAAATATAATCCTGATTCTGCCAACTTGGAATAACAATCTCTCTGGGCCTCCATGAATATGAGAATCTGAGGAACAGAAAGACTAGTTGACCTTTAAGCTCTTACAAAGTCCTTGATTTTAAGCATTATAAGAAAATTGTCATTCTTAGTTAATTTGACTGTAAATGAAGTGATGATCCTTCATTAACTTATTCCTCCATCAAACATTTAGAGTGTCTATTGTTTACCATGCACTGTACCTGGTACTGAGAAGTCAGGGAGGAGTAAAATTCTGCCCCCACTACCAAGGAGTTCACAGTCTAGCAAGGCAGAAAAGCATCTAAACAACCAGATAATTAACCTATGTGGAAAAAAAAAAATTCAAGTATATATGAAGTACAAAAATAGCCTAGGACTGACTGATCATCTGGGAAGAGTGGAAAAAAACTTCAAAAAGCAATGATGTTTGAAATGAATTTTAAAGATGAAAAGAAGTAAGTCAAATCAAGAGGAACAGGATAATCCTAGACTGAAGAAGTTCATTTCTCAAGGGTTTTATAAGCAGTTCAATACTGATGGAGCACAAGCCGGGGTGGGGGGGGGTGCAAAGAGCTTTTCAAGGATTATGAAGGGTTCCACATTCTATGCTAAACTGGAATTTACCCTGTAAGCATCAAGAAGACCCTGTAAGGATTTTTAAAGGAGAAAAATTTATAGTAACTTTAATGTACTATTTTTTTTATTAGAGTTCAAATAAGCATTTAGTATTCCAAAAATGTGAACATACAAGTTATCTTTATGAAGCCAGAGGAAAAAATTCATTTCATTATGTAATTATGCCTTTTAAAACAGTACCTGCCTGGCATAATCATCTAACAAATTACAGTCAGCATTTGATAAATATCTGATGAAGGAACTGCGGTAGCCAGACTGATATGAGTGGACGTGGTGCTTAATAATAAAGATCTTAAAATGCAGAATGGGAAAAAGTGCAAGTTTTTAAAGGTTCCTTTCACGTCTCAAGGGGACATAACCCTATTCCTCAAAAGTGGACAACCTTCGGGCGCCTGGGTGACTCAGTGGGTTAAGCTTCTGCCTTCAGCTCAGGTCATGATCTCAGGGTCGTGGGATCGAGTCCCGCATCCGGCTCTTTGCTCAGGAGACAGCCTGCTTCCCCCTCTCTCTCTCTGCCTGCCTCTCTGCCTACTTGTGATCTCTGTCTGTCAAATAAATAAATAAAATCTTAAAAAAAAAAGTAGACAACCTTTCTGTTAATGACTTTCTCCCTTCTACATAAGCTGTCCTCGACTTTTAAAAAGTCTCTATTCTTTTCTTTCCCAACACTTTTCTCTTTATTTGATAGTCATATGAGAATCCCAACCGTTACTGTAGTCCAGTCTTCTCGGACACAGTCCAAGACTAAGTTAATTATCTTTTCCAAAATTATAAACTCTAACTCCACTTCAAAATCTCAGGAATCCTCTCATGTTCAAATTCGAAAATGCTCATAACCATTTCAACATCAAACGTTGCCAGATCACATCTATAATACTCACTGCTACAATCCCAGAGCACACTTTCATCACTTTAAATCTATACTAATACAGTTCTACTCTCTCTATTCTATTCTCTATTCTAATCTAATTAAAGCAAGGAGCACAGAATTTGGTATTACTTAAGTTCAGGTGTATTTAATATGTGTGCTCATTCTAGGATCTTAATCATTTGTTTTTGTTTGTTCCTAATTAAAAGGATAAATGATTTCTCACTGTCAACAAGGTCTGTCACCAGATGAGAGTTCGTATAAAACCAGTGCTGCAGACCCGGGGTAACAAATTCAACCAGCCCTTTCTGATCTTATCTTCCTTCCCCAATTCCAGCGGAACTTGAAGCGACAGGAAGGAATGATGGATGGGCCAAAAGGGTGGGGAATGCTGGGGCCCAGAGGCGGGGGCCTCACTTCCGATTGCCACGCTACACCAAGAAACCCAAAAGGCCTTCGAGATCTTCCACAACCCACAAGGAAAAGTGCATCAGACACCAATGCTTCTCGGGTTATCCCCAAGGGCAAAAAGAAAGTGCTCTGAAAAACAGTCCCTCGCTTGTTCAGGACTCACCTGTCAGGAGCGGCGTGGACGGCGCCATCTTGTCCCGGAAAAAGAAACCCACGCGTTTGGGTCAAAGTTCACGAGGGCCAAACCCGGCCCCTACACGTCTCTTCAAGCGTGGAAACCGCGCAGAGCTGTTTCCGGTATCACAAGCCTCGGGGCCAATTCACTTCCGGTTGGAGAGAGTAGCGGAAAGGAGTCCGAAAGCGCACGCGCAGCTCCGGGGCAACACTTTTAAGAGCGTCGGGCTGCTAGGCTTCGTCCTCCCTTTTCTGTTTCAGCAGGCGGAGCCCGCGCTTCCGTGGGGCGGATCCCGTCCAGTGCTGACGTTGGCAGCCGAACCCGAAGTAGTTCGAGGTTACGGACGGCACTGCCCCGTTGTTGCGTTGCATTTCCTTCCTCTTTCACTCCACGCTCCCGGCGGCGGCCAGAGCGGCGGCGCAGGAATATCCCGGCGGCCCGCTGTCGTCCCGCGCGCCCGCCTTCGGCCGGCCAGTCCGGCGTCGTCAGTCAGTCGGCGGCCCGCGCCCCGCCAGCGCTCGGCGCTCGTGCTCGCTTAGCCCAGGCCCAGCGGCCGGAGCTAGTGCCCCGCCTGAGAGCCTCCTAGCTCCGGCGGCGCAGGTACCGGGAGCAGAGCGTCGCGGCGGCCCAAGGGGAGGCGAGCGTGCGCGTCCAAGGGGTGCCGGGGACAGGTGGTGGCGCCGCGAAGATGGTCGCCAAGCAGCGAATCCGTATGGCCAACGAGAAGCACAGCAAGAACATCACCCAGCGCGGCAACGTCGCCAAGACCTCGGTAAGGAAAGGGCAAGCGACCCTCGGTCCGCCAGCCCAGGCTCAGGCCCGGGTCGTAGGGCCGCGTCGAGTTCTCCCCGAGACCCGAGGCTAGGGGACCGGGGCCGCGAGCTGGACTCTTAAGTTGGCGGGGGCAGGCTGGGGCAGGGTGGGGGAGGTTCGGGAAAGTGGGTGCCGGAGTTTGGCGGCTCGGGAACGCAGGGGAAACCTGTGAATTGAGAGGACCCGGCCACCTGGACCGAGGTGTAGGCTGCAGGAGCCCGGGGTCGGAGCGGGGTTTTGCATTTGAAAAGGGAATCTTCATTTTTACAGAGAAATGCTCCCGAAGAGAAGGCGTCTGTAGGACCCTGGTTATTGGCTCTCTTCATTTTTGTTGTTTGTGGTTCTGGTAAGTGTTTGGGGGCTACCATTGGGTAGGGCTTTGGATGTACTGTTTGGGATGACGTGGTGACCCATAAGTAGTGACTCCTACCAGCGTAGTTCTCAACTTACCTGCCGGGAGCCCCACATAAGTCTCCTTCATCTGAACCGAATTACTTGTCCCACATATGCACAGAGGGTGGTGCTCCAGAAACTTCTCACAGGTTGATTTGTGCTCACAGGAGATCAGAAAAAGAGGTCAGGTCCTTAGTTAGTAATGATCAAATTGGAAGAAATTTAGACCAAAACAAAAAAGCCTCACGGAATGATAATTCAGAATGTTTTGCGCCTCATTATCGATACATTTTCAAAAAAGCTTAGGAACATGATGTATGTTAGAGACGTTGAACTTAATTTAATGTGTCCCAGAGTCTGATGTCTTTATGTCAGAATTGGGTATATTTTATAAAGTAAAGAAAGCTCTTGCAAGGAATTGATTCTGTATAAAGGAAACGAACCTGATTGGCAACTTAATATATGAGATAAATGTTTTTAGATTAAAGAAACGTTTGACATATGGTAGGAAAAATACCAGGTTAACCTGCTGTTAAAGTAATAGATTCTTGCCTCTACAAATTACAGAATATCTTTTCCTCTGTTCATTTATTATTAATATGCAAATTGTTGCATATTAAGTTGTTGATACTGAAGTACACGTTTTTGTTTTTTACATTCTGATATTCTAAAGTTACTGAGGTTTTTCTTAAACATTTCACTTTGCCTCCTTCCTAAACTTACTAGTTAGAAGCTTTCTTGATACATGGCTAAGAGCCAAGCAATTTACATAATCTAAGGATTATCAAATTTCAGCTTTGTGAGAATGAGGAAACATGATTATATTACAGGCCAGGCCTTAGAAGGACACTTAATATTTTGGGGATAAATCAAAATAATTCTATGCTAGAAAACCTGTTTGCTTTGGTGCTTGAAGTTCTTTCTGAAATGATTGCGTATTGCAAAATCTCTTGGACATTTAGACATAAAATTCAGAGAAGCTGAAATTTAAAAATATAACTTGACATTCAGTTGTTTAGAATAGGCTTGTCTTTACTTTTTTATTTCAGTGAAGTTGTATAGCATTTACAAGTAATTGAAAAGGTGCTCTTGGGTTCTTGTGAACTACCTTAATACGTATTTATCGTGCCAGACCTATTTTATTCAAAGCATGCTTACTAAAACATTTGCTCTTTCTCTTTACAGCAATTTTCCAGATTATTCAAAGTATCAGGATGGGCATGTGAAGTGACTGACCTTAAGATGTTTCCATTCTCCTGTGAATTTTAACTTGAACTCATTCCTGATGTTTGATACCCTGGTTAAAAACAATTCAGTAAAGCATCCTGCCTCAGAATGACTTTTCATATCATCCTTCATTTGTCATTCCAAGGTTTCTTCACAAGTCATTCCAAGTTTTCTAGTCCATACCACAGTGCCTTGCAAAAGCACCACATGAATAAAGCAATAAAATTTGATTGTTAAGCTACAGTAGTGGACCCTGCTTATTCAGTCAGTAAAGAGTAAATTTTTTTAATGGTTATTAAAACAGTATCCAATATAGATAATTAGATTAAATTTATGTAGAGAGGGTCTAGATTTTGTTAACCCTAATGTGTAAATGCAATTAGCTTAATTTAAAGTTTGGAGTTACAATTTTTATATAGCTAGGCACTTTATTACTGTATCTTGAATTGAAAGCACACTCCTGTATAGGGTCATGTAACAGTCCTGTAATAAAGTGCTTATATTGGAACAACTACACAGTTAGCCTAGTTTCCCATAACTTTTAGCACCTAAATTTTTTAAAAGCTTCTAAATGCTTAATATAAAGGGAAATGCTTATAGCTACAACATCTATTTTAACAATATTATTTCTGTTACACTACCTTGGATTTTGCATGAGTAATTATACTAACCTGAAATGCCATAAGAAAGCAACTTGATTGAGCATTTTGTAACTTAATGAGTCAATTTATTTTCACTAAAAGCTACTGTGGTGGAGTAAAGTCAGGGAAAGTATGTCACCATTAAATTCATCAAAATTATTTTAATATATCAAAGGGGTCTACTATGCTAGACAACATTTTAGGGAAAAATACTACTAAAACTGGTTGTCTCATCAGGACATACTGATGAGTCCAATGTGCCATCAAACATCTTAGCACATGAATAGCACTTTTAATACCAAAAAAGGCACATCAACTAAAAACTTAGTTTGGAAATAATTTTCTAGATCTATGATTAAAATTTTGTTAGGGTACTAGATAAATCAGACTAAAGTGCCATCTGGAATTAAATGGACTTACTGATAAGGATCAGTGTTTAGTCTTCCCTTTGTTTTATAATTCTATAGGTTATGATCAAAGTTTCTTTTTACTAATGGTAAGGGTGAGAAGGCAGGTTTTGGATTTTCTGGTACCAGAAAATTTAAAGTTTAGGCTATTTAAATATGTAGTCATAACTTGATTTAAAAAAAAAAAAAGCATGAGAGTGTATCAGTGAATTGGAAAGAAAGCTGCTCATTTGCTTTGTTAATTGTCTCAGGATATCTCTTTTAAAATAAACTCTTAAGAGGAACAGAAGGGAAATCTACCTAGTCATGCACAGTGTGAACCTCAGAGAGAGCTTCTGATACCCCTAAATACAGGGGAGAATGAGGGAGAGGAGCAGGTAAGAATGTTTAGGAACTTAACTACTCAAGAACAGGGAAGGAATCCGCTGACCTTGGATTGGCAGGTTTTTATCTGCATTATTAACCTGCCTTTGTCACCCAGGAAATCAACCCTAGACTTGTTTCCCTCTGTGAAGCAAGTGTCTTGGTTGACTAATTCTATTTTATTGTAACTTTAAAAATGAAAGTTTTTGTTCTAAATTTATAGCAGGTGCCTTATTCTTTGCTTTGAATGAAACCATTCCATATCCTCTGGTTTAGTATAGATAATTGGCTTTAAGATGTTAGGGTTTTTTTTTTTTTTTTTAATTGTACATGTCTTTATTAATTTGACTGTTAAATTGCTATAGCTAGCAATCATTTACATATGTAAAGTTGCATTCCCTTTGTATTTCATGTGTAATTTCCTAATTGAGTACATTTTATATTAAGGATGGATTATGCATGTTTGGGTCAATGAAAGCTATGTCTTACTTGATTTGTCCTTTAAAAATAAAGTTCCCTGAATATTTGATGCCTTCTAAAAGGAAATGATTTTACAGATTTCTTACCGGAGTGTACTTTTTATAGGTAGTAGAAAATTATTTTAAAGAATGCCTACTATTATGTTGTACTTGAGTTAAGTAAGTACTCAGAGACACAGATTAAAAGTTTATAACTGGGAATAAGTAGCAAGAAATACATTAAAAGCACAGTGAACTAAATACTTCCTTTCCTAGGGTTTATCCTCATCTCATTAGCCAAGTCTCATTCGAGGAAAAATCACAGTTCCTTCGGTCTCCCTTTCCCAGTTGGATTTTATGTCATGCAGTGTTAAACACAGTGTGATAATATTGGGGGGTTGTCTACATTATCCAATTACTCTTTGTCATTTACCTTTAACATTTTGAGGAGTTGTCAGTGATTTCATTGTATCCATTGGGTTGTATATAGTGTTACTCAATTAAAATAATTGAGTGGGCTTCCAAAATAAGGAAAGCTTTTCATTGTAACAGGATGTATTGTAATGGGCTTTGACTTAACATCAAAGAAGTGTGTATCTGAACTCAACAGCTGGGCCATCGCTCTTCTCACTGAGATTACTGGGGTTTTGCTGGCACAAAGGAATATCATGGAAATCTGGATTGTGTTCTTTGGAGGTTCATCATCAACAAAATTTTATTGCTCTTATAGTATCTAAAAATTTAGAGCCTCAAATTTTCCACTTAGAAATTGTTTTGACGTTTGATTTGTCTTTACCTACCTTTTTAGTTTTTTAACATACTGTTTGAGGTGCAAACCAGAACTTTAAGAAGCAGGAGTTGGGTTCAACAGCAAATTCTCTGTCCCTTCCCTTAGAGAATCATTTCCTGTCAAAACTTCATCCCACTCTAGCTACTTGTACCATGTTAGCTTCAGGTTGAATTAGAACAGAAATTTCCTAATTTGAAAAGACCAATAATGAGCAATAAAGGCTAGAAGCCAAGCTGAAGGGGAAAATTCAGCCGTCTGGACTTAGTTAATTCAAAGTAAATTCATCTGTAGTACAGAGTCCTAAAGATAGAAAGGACATGGGTAGTTTAGTCCAACTGCCCCAGTTAACAGGGGAAAAAAAAAAAACACAAACCATTTATTCTGTAAGTATTGAGCTATGTGCCAGATACAGAGTTAGAGCTGTGAATACAGAGTCCCAGTACTCAAGTATCTTTCAGTCCTGTAGTGGGGGGAAAAGACCGTAAAATGAAGACTATATTTGTGGTTAGTGTTTCAAAAGAAAAGTAAAATCAGATAAATGGTGTCCACTCTCTCAGAGCTTGTTGAGGTAGAGCAGAAACTAGAACCAAGATTTCTGGACTCAGCTGTATCCTAGAGAAACCATAGGAATGACTTCAGAACGTCCACACACAACACTTCTGTTTTCATGAGCTCTTTACTTCTGCTTTTAGGAAAACGAGTAATTTAAAAAATTTTTTTGCATGTTGCAAACTTAAAAAAACTTGTCCTTTTATAGATGCAATGTCTTTTGAAAATGAATTTAAGTGACAAATTTACTATCGATATTTCCTGTACAGCACAAAAATAGATCAAATCAGTAATATTCACTGTAACATATCCAAGAGTACATTTTTAAAAGGTATTTTGTTATATAACCTTACTGTATTTTGTTTTAAAAATTTTCACCTGTGATGTTGAAAAATCAGTCTGGTAGCCCAAAAAAGAAAATGGAGTCATGTCCTACATAGATTCTTTTTATTACGAAATTTCAGTGAATAAATTGTGTGACTTTTTTTCACAGTGTGAACTTCTACTTCGGGATGCAGATAGAACAAATTTGCAAATTTAAATAAAACTATGATTTCAATGTCATTAAAAGCACAAGTAACAGGTTTTTCTTCTTTTTTCATTGTTATGAAGATGTCTGAAACAAGGAAATGAAAATAACTGATTTTAGACCGAGAAGGAACTTTGGAAATTATCTTGATTAGCCCTTTTATTTTACACTTGGGGAAATTATGGCCTAGAGAAGTGATCTTTCCCATTACCAATGAGCCATTGACAGAACAAGGATTAGATAAATAGTCTTGTGGTGACCTAATTGGCTCTTTTAATACGTTGAGTGCTAAAGAATTCTGATTCTAGAACGTTTTTTTTTGTTTTTTGTTTTTTTTTAGATAACATGTTAATCTCATGAAACCCTTAAGAGTTCTGTGAAGGTAAAATCTGAATACCTACTAAACTTCAGTGGCTTCCTGCTGCCATTGGAATGAAATGTCTCTTTAGCTCTGATTTTTTCAGGAAACTTCACAGCATGGCCCAATCTACCTTTTCAGCTTTGTCTCCCACTGCTTCTCTCCTCAGTCAAGTTAGCCCAAAAAGTTCACTTTTCCAATACTTGTGCTCTAAGTGTTTTTGCTTATTTTCTCCACATTACAATACTACTTTCCCTTCAATATCTAGCTTAAGTATCACCTCTGAAGTTTTCCAATGCCATGGGAATTAGAAACACTCTCTTTGGGATTGATGACTCTGGACCAGTTAGCATTTATTATGTTGCCATGTTCATTAGCGTTCTCAATTTCCCAGCTAGAATATGGAATCCTTAAGAACAAATGCCATGTTTTTCATTCTTTTTTCATCTACTTCCACCACCCTTGAGGCTAGTATGAAGCTTTTTTTTTTTTTTTTTAAAGATTTTATTTATGTATTAGCACAAGCAGGGAGGAGCAGGAGAGGGAGAAGCAGTCTCCCCACTGAGCAGGGATCCTAATAATGGGGCTCAATCCCAGGACGTTGAGATCATGACCTGAGCTGAAGGCAGCGCGTTACCAACTGAGCCACCCAGGGGCCCTGAGGCTAGCATGGAACTTTGCACACATGAGGGGAGCTCAACATTTTAGATGAGTGATAAAGAGAGCACCAAATGCCCTATCACATCAGAATAATCTTTAAGGTAAGGACATGTAAAATAATCCACCGCTGATACAAAAGTCATCCCAACTACTTCCAATCTTGGCAACCTCTGCTTGATGGCTGGGCTCAGCATCATAATCCAAGTTTACCCTTCAAATGAACTCTCTTAGGATAGGCTTGATATTTGGAAATATATCAACAGTTGTATTTGTCCTTCAGGCATATTTGAGAACCGTTCATTGTAAGTGTCATTGAGAAAACTATAAAATGTGCTTTATAAAGAAAGCTGACACCTCACCACACCAGTCTGCCCAGTTATAAGGAAAGAGTCTGACAACACTGTTCAGAGCAGGTGCCCGTGGGCTGTTAGCCGCCCTCTGTCCCAGGCCCCATCCTATAGCACAGAAAGGGACAAGGATGTCACAGTGGGCACCTTTCTCCAAACCAGCCTGCAAACCCAGATGGCTCTGTTCTTCCCAAACCAGATCCAGTCCCTGAAAGGGACAGCTTATTCTCTTCACAAAGAAATTCCCTACAGGAAGGCCACACCACACCACACTGGCGAGCTTTTATCATGTCATGTGGTTACCAAACCAGATCTCCGACATTGGACAAAGGAAACTCTCAGGGCCCACCTGGGAAAACGTCATCCATGCAACCACGTGGAAAACCACTTAATTCCTGACACCCAGGAGCACCGTGGGACTAGGATGAACCACCAAGATTCACGAGTTTGTGTTCTGTCTGACACTTGAGCCACCAATTAATGAACAACTGTAGATGCCAAGGTCCAAATGCATCTGGGATTGAGACAGAGCTGACAAAGCCCAAATCATAAAGATAAACACTGGCAATATCCAAGCATATTTCCACCTAGTTCCACCCTCGGTTACAGGTGCACAACTTCCTGTTAAACACAGATGGATTACATGAAGAAGGAAGGCCTAACTGTCCTTTCTGCTTGATTGAGAACAGCATCAGAATGCTTTTCAAGGGCCACCTGGCTGGCTCAGTCAGTAGAGCATGCGACTTATTCACAGGGTTGTGGGTTCAAGCCCCACTTGGGTGTAGAGATTACTTAAAAATAAAACCTTTAGAGACGCTTGGGTGGCTCAGTCGGTTAAGTGTCTGCCTTTGGTCAGGTCATGATCCCGGTGTCTTGGGATCGAGTCCTGCATGGGGCTCCTTGCAGAGTCTGCTTCTCCCTCTCTCTCTGCCTGTCACTCGCCCTGCTTGTGCACTTTCTCTCTGTCTAACAAACAAACAAAATAAAATAAAATCTAAAAAAAAAAAAAAAAAGAATGCTTTCCAAGGCCGGATCCCTTTCTTTTCTAAACATTGTGTTAAAGCCCATCTGTACTGACAAGTACCCGCAGGGAAAGTGGACCAACGGAGTTTAATAACCCTCCTATGTCAATGGTCTTATCTATTACTCAGAGTGGGGCCAGCAGACCCACAGTAACCTTGAAGTCTGTTAGGAATATAGAATCTTGGGCCTCACCCAAGGCCCACTGTATCAGAATTTTCATTTTCACAGGATCCTTAGGTAACTCATATACAAATTAAACTTTGAGAAGTGCTGAAGAGGTCTCAGAGTTCTGGTTCTGAAATGGATACCTAACTTCCTTGGGCTTTGTTCTCTTTGGCTACAGAAAAGAAAGCACTTACCCTTCCGTTTGATGCAACTGTTGTGAAAACTTGATGGTAAAAGCACTTTGAAAAGCTAAAATAATCTACATGATAAGATCCACTAATTTTACAAACTGCAAAAACAAGATATCTCCCATAGGCTGAGTGGCCTTCCTCATTGAAAACAGAAAGTAACAGTAGCCTCTGTATTGGACTTGGCAGAAGTCACCTACTTCTTAGGGTCACTTGCTATTCATATATCTTGAACTAAATCTCCCTTTCCCAATCTTCTGCCTTCTGAATGGCTTTTCAAAACTTACGGGACTGTGAATCCTATCCAGCTAATCAGGATTGGAATAAGAAGACATACTACATTTGGAAAGCTGAAGAGAAACCGGGGGTTACATGGGTCTCAAATGAGACTGAGCCACCAGGCATCTCACCTTCGCTCATTTTAAAAATAAACATAGGTGATGGGCATTAAGGAGGGCACATAATGTGACGAAC